TTATATTATAATATTTTTAATCACTCATTTTATTAAATTTATACATTTAACCATTCACTTATTAAAATAAAAAAAATAGTTCTTATTTTATATTAATTATTAATTCTGTTAGTTAAAAATAAATTTTTATCAATTAATAGTCAACTAATAATCAATTAATAGAATTAATAAAATATTATAAAATTAATTATGTTAACTCTGTTAACTGAAAAAATATTTTTAACAGTTACTAATTAATTAACAGTCAACTAATAAAATTAACAAGCAGTTAATAAAATTAATAAAATATTATAAAATAAGAGTTATTTTTTTATTTTAATAAATGAAGAGATAAAAATATCATAATATAAAATAAAAAATAAAAAATTAAATAAAATAAAAAAATTATAATATTATAATATAATACAAAAAATTAAAACTTTTAAATTTAACAGGGGAAGAGCCTAAAGTAGGCTTTTCTTTTGCCACAACTACGTAAGGCTGGTTGTTCCGCCAACTCTCCTTTAAAAAACTCTACAAGCCAGTTGGCAAGACAATCACTGATAAGGACACCAGCACCAACAATTCTCGGATTCACTTGGGCAGAACCATCCATATGTATAATTTAAAGTTCTTTGCATTAATTATATCTTATTATGCCTTAAATGTTGTTATCATAAAACATTATTGAGTTTTTTTAATTTGTGTTTTTTAAGGGTGCAATAATAATTACATTTTTTTATATTTAAAAAATAAAAATTAATAGTTATTTAGTTGTTTAATTAAAATGATTCATATAATATTTATGATAAAATTAATGATAGTTTTTATATTATTTAATATTAATATAAAAAATAAAAAAATAATTATATGTTTAATACGTACGATTACGGCATAGTTTAGAAAAATACAAAATCGTCATTTGTCATGTATGTATTTTGTGAATTGCAAGCTTGGTTCATGATTCCTCATTGCCGGCTTAACTAACTGCTCAATAAATAACTTAAGCTAACAGTATTAACTTAGTTAATCCACACGGAACACTCACTTAATTGTGCGGTGTTTGTTGTAATGATAGAAAACAATATTATTTTGTGCATATTTTATTCATGAAAAAAATTGTTTAATTTTGTCTTTAACCGAAGGAGATTTTTCTATTTTATTTTAGAAGAACTGATTTTTTTTTATTAATTTTTCAATATTCGATAAATATATTGAATCTTAATTAATTTGAAATCGAATCACATCTAACCTTATTTAAAAGAAACTTTTTTCGTACTTTTTTTTTATTTATAAAATTTAAAGTCAAAATTTTATTTTAAAAAAATTAAATTTTTTTCACTCAAACCAACAGACCATTAATTATTTAAGAATAACTGATAAACTAATAAAAACCCCATATTTTCCACATCCTTTGTCCAATTGACAACAAATCTATCACTAATAAAAACCCCATATTACCGCTACAAAGTGGTTGTCGAAAACAGCCATTAAAGGCAGGTACAACATTGTAGGCGCGTTTAGTTTTTCTGATTTTATTAATCTTTATTTAATTATAATATTTAAAAAGTAAAAATTTATTTATATAAAATTT